GTATTCAGGTGAGTGGTCATGGGCAGGTCCACGCATTGGTAGGGCAGGTTCCCAGAGAGGGGGAGGGGTGGTGTGAGGAGGTGTGGGGCAGGACGTGCACCGGTCGGGGAAGAGGCGTCCAAGGCATGGGGCGCAGCGGCTCAGGGCTCAGCGGAGCCACAACAACATACAGGTGCAGCAGGGGTGGCACGCCCCGGTGATTGTTCCATACAAGCCCGTGCCGTTCTTCAGCTTTATTTGCACCTTTTCATTCGCCAGGTTCATCAAAAACGTGCAGCAAGGTGACATCAGCCAGCCGTCAGCGAGGTGCCTGCGGCAGCAGAAGCACAAGCGGCAGAGGGCGCAGGCGTGCACCGGCGTGCACCCCGCCTGACCAGGGGGGGAGAGGAGTCTGATTGGGGCGGGTCTCCCCGGGGATAGTGCGGACAGGCGCCTGAGCAACCCTATGCCGGTCCCGCCAGAGAGTTCACCGCCCCTTCCTCCTCCCCCTGCCCTGCACAATATAAAGATCAATCAATCAAGGGTACTGTGTTACTGTGGGCTCACGGCGTCCCGCGCCTTCTTGCGGCATGCAGCCGCCAGGGCTGCCAGCTCGGTGTTGCTCTGCTGTAAGAATTGAGATTTCAGAGAACCGGGCCCTTTAAAGGGTTGGGAAATGTGTGTGTGTGTGTGTGTTTTACAGGGATTGGGCACATTAATGTGCTGGGGCCGAACCCGCTAACCCTGCCGGCTGTCCAAAGCGAGGAAAATCTGGCTGCCGATGGCATCCCGGGGAGGCTCCGTCTTGCAAGCGCCATGCCGGTCTGCCGGGCAGCCGTCCGCCGCCCAGATGCCGTCACGAAGGTGCCGCGAGGCAAAGTCCCAGCTAGTGTCCCGGCTGGGGTTCGAACTCGTGCCTGTGGTATCACCCACCGGCACTCATCCAGCTCCTTATTTAACGTCGCGGCCAACGACGGGAAATTGGGATTGGGCACATCAACAGGGATTGGGCACATTAATGTGCTGGGGCCGAACCCACTAACCCTGCCGGCTGTCCAGAGCGAGGAAAATCTGGCCGCCGATGGCATCCCGGGGAGGCTCCGTCTTGCAAGCGCCATGCCGGTCTGCCGGGCAGCCGTCCGCCGCCCAGATGCCGCCACGAAGGTGCCGTGAGGCAAAGTCCCAGCTAGTGTCCCGGCTGGGGTTCGAACTCGTGCCTGTGGTATCACCCACCGGCACTCATCCAGCTCCTTATTTAACGTCGCGGCCAACGACGGGAAATTGGGATTGGGCACATCAACAGGGATTGGGCACATTAATGTGCTGGGGCCGAACCCACTAACCCTGCCGGCTGTCCAGAGCGAGGAAAATCTGGCCGCCGATGGCATCCCGGGGAGGCTCCGTCTTGCAAGCGCCATGCCGGTCTGCCGGGCAGCCGTCCGCCGCCCAGATGCCGCCACGAAGGTGCCGTGAGGCAAAGTCCCAGCTAGTGTCCCGGCTGGGGTTCGAACTCGTGCCTGTGGTATCACCCACCGGCACTCATCCAGCTCCTTATTTAACGTCGCGGCCAACTACGAATTTTGGTGTGTGTGTGTGTGTTACAGGGATTGGGCACATTAATGTGCTGGGGCCGAACCCACTAACCCTGCCGGCTGTCCAGAGCGAGGAAAATCTGGCCGCCGATGGCATCCCGGGGAGGCTCCGTCTTGCAAGCGCCATGCCGGTCTGCCGGGCAGCCGTCCGCCGCCCAGATGCCGCCACGAAGGTGCCGTGAGGCAAAGTCCCAGCTAGTGTCCCGGCTGGGGTTCGAACTCGTGCCTGTGGTATCACCCACCGGCACTCATCCAGCTCCTTATTTTTTTTTTGGCGGCATTTCTGACGGTGAACGCCAGGTGGAAAGCAATAATTCGCTCTATGGCACAATGTCGGGGCTGTAGCTCATATGGTAGAGCGTCCGCTTAGCACCGCTTTGCCACCGCTTATCTGCGGAAGGTACCGAGTTCGATTCTTGGCAGCTCCAGTGAATACATTTTGTCCATTTGTTTTGTGTGTAGGCTTGTTATATGTTCCGGCGGCTATCTATATGTTCCGGCGGCTATCTTCCTCCGCCACAAATCTGCATTCCGCTGCCTCTGGCCCGTGGCGAGGATGACTCACAATCTCCACGGCGGACGGGCAACAACTCGAGCAGTAGGCAATGCGGCAAATCTTGCAAGCTGTGCATTTGCATCAATTGCAGGCGGCGGCCGAGGTGCTGGTGGTTCTGGTGTTTTGCAGCCGCTGATAAGGTTCGCGAGTGGGACTGGCTGAGCAGGTTGGGATTGGAGGTGGCATTGGAGTTGGCAGGCCACATCAGAGCTCTCATCCGCAGCGCATGCCACAGCCGATGCATCACCAGCCTTGGTGCACGCAGCACAGCTGGATGGGGAGCATGGTGGGTCTGATGCGGAGCCCTGCAGGCAGAACACCGAAAGTCAGAAGAAGAAGAAAAACTGCCTCTCGGCTGGCTGAGCGGCGGTGCACGAGTCCATGTGGGTGGTGGATCCGAGTTCGGGCGCTCCTCTCGGGCCCTGCCGCCCGCTGCCATGCCTGGGAACCCAGCCGCGTTGCCCCCGCTGGCACATGCACGGTGTATTAAGATCGGCACATAGCACACTGTGGCAGGTTGTGCAAAACATTTCAGCGCCCTGCCACCCTGGCATCATGTGTCGGAAGGCAGGTGTGGGCGTCACTCCGGCGTTGGTCATGACGCCCATCGCAGTCTGTTGTTACCGAACATTCATCCAAGCACCATTGCCGCCCCCAGGCTCTACAAGTGCTCACAGCCCAGCGGAGCACTGCACCCACCCGAGCCCAACGCGCGACCACGACCCCAAGTGTTCCTTCTCGCCCTCAATTAGCAAGGAATAGCGACCCAACCGGCCTGCAGATGCGGCCCCGGCACCTTCACCCCGCCTGAGGCCCAACACCCATGCGATCACTGCTATTCGGGCTTGTGCTGGCATCGCTGACGCTATGCGCAGGTGAGCGGGGCTAGTCGGGCAGCCCCTGGTCTGCAGGGCCAGGTCAGCCGGCATGCACATGCCCCTCCCGAGCGAACCGCAAGCTGCTTGCCCGCCCCGTGCAGCTGGACAGCCAGGCAAGCCCTCTACCATGCCACCGGGTGGCCTACGGCCCAGCCGCGTGCCTCAGTTCGTGCTGTTCACGGTGGGCCTGCCGCCGCTGCCGCCGCCGCCGCCGCTCTGTCCCTGCTGGCCATCCATCACTGCCCTATGCTGGTGCTCCTGCTCCTGCACGGCACTCCCCAGCTCTGAAATCAGCATCCAGGCACTCATGGAACCCAGGCTTTGGCTGTTCAGCTGTCAGCTTGCAACTTGTTTACAGCCCGCCTGGCCCGCCAATGCTGGGCAGCGCCGGCCAGCAGCCCAGCGTCAGTTGCTGTTTCCTGAATATAGGTCTGCCTGTCGCTCCCCCCGCCACGCCGTGCAGCATGACGACGCCGTTGATGGGGAGGCGCACCGGCTGGTGAAGAGCGTGACGGCGGGGCGGGCGGCCAATGGCTGCCCCTTGACCGCCACCATGTTCATCTCGTCTCGATTCCACGACGAGCGCACAGGTGCAGCTGGGTGCAACTAGTTGCAGTACTGCTGCAGCAGCCGCTGCTTCTGCTGGGCTGGCATGCCGTGAATCAGGTGGCGTAGTTGCTGGCGAGGCCAGTGCCGCTGGCCAATGGTCATCATAAGATCTTGGGATGAGCCTTGCATTGAGCTGCCGCTGCAGATTGCGGCCTGGTACGCGACTTGTTTCGCAGTGGGTACGAGATAGCCGACCATTCACTCAACCACCCAAACGTGCGCGCCCCATTTGCTGCTGGCCTGGGCCATCCGTGCTGTTGCGTCGAGCGGCGCTACATTGTTGCCTTTGCTGCTCTGATCAGAGTGTGTGCTGCCGAAGGGAGCAACGTGCCGAACGGGGAGAATGCACCATACCAAATCCGTTCACATAAATCTTCCCGCTTGTTCTACGCTTGCAGCCGTTTGACATCAGCCAGGCGGAGCTGCGAGCAGAGATGGCCAACCAGCGCGCCTGGCTGGCCCGGGGCTGCGGCATCCCGGCCGGCGCCATTGTCGGCTGGCGCACTCCCTACCTCAAGGTCACCACAGACACACGCCAGCTGCTTCACAGCCTGGGCTTCTTGTATGACACGTGAGCTGGCAAGGGGGCGGCTGCCGCATGCCGCCGCCGCCATTGCCGCTCATCACGGTTGCCGCCATTGCTCTTCGGCCGTGCCGCTGGTCCTCCTGTGCTACTGCGCCGACGCATGATGTGACCATGGCCACATCTTGTGTCTGCGCACTTCATCCATGCCGTCGCCGCACCCGCGAAACAAGTTGTGACTTCTCTTGCGTAGTTCGCTGGTGGAGCCTGGAACGGGGTCAGTGTCAGGAGGCATGGGGGCTCGGCTGTGGCCCTTCAACATGGCCTATGGCAATCCCATCAACTGCAATGTCGGCATGTGAGCCCAGCGCGTTGCCCTTGCTCACTGCCCTGCGCACCGCTCAACGGCAGGCATCCCCGGATATCTGCCTTCTTACGCAGGGCCTTTTTTGTCTCTGCTGCGCAGATTCTCAAAGTTCCAAAAGTGCAGCAGAACGGAGCGCTACCCAGGCATGTGGCAGGTGCCATGTGAGTGACGCACAAACATGATCAGCCTCCTGCACTGAGCGTGGGTGAACTGGCGGGTTGTAGCAACACATCGCTACCCAAGATCGCTAACAACACCAGGCAGCACCCCCTCCTCTGCGGTTCCTGCCTCGCAATCCCTGTCCAACCGCTGCAATATCACTTTTCTGATGCTTGTTGTGGTGGCTGTAGTGTGGGAGCTGACTGCGGCAGGCAACTACTGGATGGATTACGGCAGGTGAGTGGATGCCGCCTCCCTGCACCCGTTAACCTTCTTTGAGCTCAGCATGGTGATTGAAACTTCCTGCGGCACTGCGTGGATCCCTGTCTGGCTGGGGCAAAGCTGCTGGCAGCTGGCAGCGTCACGGCTATGCCCCTTAAAAAGCCAAGCATTGACGACCCCGGGCACTATAGGCACCTCACACTGTTGTTGTTGTTGTCTGCCCCTGCCGTAGGGACGGTGCCAACGGGGACGTGTTCAACATTCTGAAAGCCAATTTCGATGCTGGCTACGGCGGCAACCGCGCCCCCTTCCCCATCTTCGTCCACTCGCCCTTCCTGAAGAGCAACCTGGACTCGGTGACGCGGTTTGTGGGTGCGTGTGCCAGCCAGCTGCCTGCATTTCTTCCTGTCTGCACTTCTTCCTTGTCCGGTAACCAACACAACTAAGTGCATGTGCACGCTGGCCGCTGAGCTGACCGCTGACTGCCCAAGTGCCCGCTCCCTTCCCCGTCCCTGGCTTGTAGACTATGCACGCTCCTTGCCACACGTCTACTTTGTGACCATGCGCCAGCTCATCGGTTGGATGAAGAACCCCATCCCCATCGACCAGCTCACCCCCACCAGCCTAGGCTGTAGCACAGTTGGCGGCGCTCCAGCGGGCGGTGGGCGCCGAGTTGGAAACAAGCCCACACCCATCATCAAACCACCCATCATCAAATCACCCACCATCAAACCAGTTGTCAAGCCCAGGCCCAAGCCCCAGCCCATCATCAAGCCCAGCCCCAAACCCAGGCCCCCACCTCCACCGCCGCCCAAGCCCAGGGTGTCGCCGAGACCTCCGCCTGCCTCCCCGCCGCCACCGCCCAGTCCACGCCCTCGACGCCCTCCACCAAAGCCCT